TCTAAATACTATTAAATTATTACAATTTAATCCCAATTTATTGTAACGATGTTGACCCCAACTAAACACTTGTCCATCATTTGTCAGTCCAAACGACGAATTTTCAAAACAATAAACAGATTTTATAAAATAATTGCCATTAAATTTAATTTTTTCTGGTTTTGAAATGACATTACAAGCGGTATCTCGACTACCGATTTGTCCGAAATGATTGCGACCCCAACCATAAACTTCATTATTATTTTTTGTTACAATTAATGTGTGAAATAAACCACAACTCAAATCACTAATTAAATCATTGTTTGAATTGATTTGTATAATCATTGGTTTATTATATTCAATATCATCAAATCCCTGACCCAATTGTCCCCATTTATTATAACCACAACTATAGACACAATTATCACTCGACAAAAATAACATAAATTGTTTTCCGTTTATAAAATTAATAATCTTTTTATGACTCAATTCAATGATCTCTTGTGGTTCACTCACCCACTGGTATTGTCCCAAACCCAATGATCCCCAATAATTAGCACCCAATCCATAGACCCGATCATCATCTTTGGTAACAAATAGCATATTAACCCCCAAATCGTCGTCAAACACATAAAATCTTTCAATCCTTTTGATCCAATCATCTGGTGCTAAGTCTTGTGGTTTCATATTTTCACAATTCATTACATTTTGAGATAAATTTTGATTTTTATTTTGTTTAAACATTTTTTTTAAAAAATAATATTTAAAAACTATTTTCTTATTAATCGCAAACTATTTTTTGCAATCCTTAAATTAATATATATCATATTATATTTGTTTTATTATATTAAATATTGTACTTTTTAACTATAATATTATATCTACAATATATTAAACCATAAGTAATAATCAATAAGATATAAAATGTAATAATATATATACATTATAATTATAGCAATTTATTATTTAATTATATTTGTATTCTAATTTTATCTTAAAAACTCTTTTATATAAAATTATTATATTTTACTTAATTATAAAACTAAATGTCAAATAATATGAGATAAAAACAATTTTTTGCTCATATCTTATATATTATATAAAATATAATTATATAATATTTAATCAAAATTTATAATTATATTAAACTAACTATTTATTATTAAATATTTATAGTATATATTTGTAATTTTTATGTGTTTATTGTATTATTTTATTAATAATATTTGTTTAATAAAATTATTAGTTTCATTAGTATTATATGTAGTATCTTAAGAATTATAATTAAATTAAAAACACTAATATTAAATATTGTATATAATTAAACTAAAAATAACTTTTAATGAATTTTAGTTTATAAGTAGTATATTTAATTTTATTTAAAAAACTAATTTTAAACCAGTTGAGAATGTTAGAAAGCATTTCCACACGAATTCCTAATCATAATTAAAAATTAAATTTAAATTAAAAACAGCAGCTTCGCTACGTCATAGCACACCAAACATTCGTCAATCAAAGTCCCGACTTAAAAAATTTAATTAACCATTTTTGAGGTCAAGGAATCCGATAAGCGTAAAATAAATTGGTTTAGACAAAAAAAGAATACCGTCAAATTTTATTTTTTTATATTTGTTATATATAACACAATATTTAAATAATTATATAATAAGTCATTTTATTTGAAGTAATGACATCATTTTCAGCGCCATCAATAGTTATGACTTCATTGTTGTCTTCAATGGTTACAACCAAGATATCGTTAACCCATGCGAAGTCAATATCTTCTTCAAATAGAAATGAATTGTTTTGAAGAAGAACATTGTTCACCTAGGTCGATGACAATCTCTTGATCTTCGACAATGGTGTCATCATCAACTGGTATAAACAGAGTGTCATCGTCGTTTTTTGCATATATTAGCTCTTCATATTCAGAACAATATGTAGGATGCGGATAGTACATGTTATAATCAATTGGAGTCGTATGGATTCACCCAGTCGTTCTCAAAGACGTATTATAGATGAACTGTATTTGCGTAGTCCGAAACGTCTTGCTGTTATTGCTCTTCATTGGTGTAAAAGATGACGTCCAATATTACTAATTCCACCCAAAATTTACACAATACGAACAAGTTTAATGAAGCCTTTATGACGCTCCGTTTTTAAACATTGTACAAACATCTCAGTCAAATGTGATGCTCACATTTTTCACACACAAGTTCGGACGTCACCAGCTCCGCTACGTCATAACACACCAAACATTCGCCAATCAAAGCCATCTGTTGAGAAATTAAAATATTAATAAATAATTTATAAATTTTTCATAACAACTTACTCTTACTGTTGTAGAGGATGCTTAGCCAACCAAGCTATGAATGTTGAATGTTGGTCACTGCAGAAATAGCAGTCTTTATATACTAATTTGGAAGCCTACTGAGCAGTCGCACAACACGACAAACCAAACTACAAGTAAAGTTCGACACTTATTATGCATCAGAGGTCAAACCAAATTACAAGTAATGTTCGAAACGTATTATGCATCTGAGGTCAAACCAAATTACAAGTAAAGTTCGACACATATTATGCATCAAAGTTCATGGAAAACTACAAAAAAAGGTATGACACTTACTGTGAATTCAGTTCATGGAAAAATACAAGAAAATTACGACAATTACTATGACATCAAAGTTCATGGAAAATTACTATAAACGTACTACACTTACTATTACGTGAGAGTTTATGGAAAAGTACTAGCAAGATATTATTTTTTATTACTCAATTTTTAATTTTTCACATAATTCTATACTAATTAATTTAATAAAATTGTTCATTTTAAACAAGTACTTTTTTAATTTATTTAACATTATTATTTAAAATAAACATTTAAAATATATGAAATTTACTTACTTTTTTTAATTTTAATTAGTAATTTACACAAATCTAAACTTAAAAATTTTGACACAATTTTGTCTATGTTCTTGATAAAATTAACTTTAAAAAAAATTCAAAAAAAATTTTTTAAAAAAATTAAAAAAAAAATTTTTTTTTATTAATTATTGGACACCATTTTGTTTTTTTTGCTTAAAAATAAACTTAAAAATAAAAAAAAAACAAAAATCTAAAACAAATCTAAACTTAAAAATTAAAATAAAAAAAATTAAAATTAATATTTTATAAAAAAATTTTGACACTATTTTCTTTATATTCCTGATAAAATAAACTTTAAAAAAAATTTTAAAAAAATTTAAAAAATAAAAAAATTTTTTTTATTAATTTTTAATTTTTGGACTCCATTTTGTTTTTTTTCTTAAAAATAAACTTAAAAAATAAAAAAAAATAAAAAAATATAAAAAAAAACAAAAAAAACGTAGCTGAGCCTGGATTCGAACCTATGTCCTCGTGGGACAGACAGACCGACAGACAGACAGACCGACAGACAGACAGACAGACAGACTTATAGAATGTATATACGTATTCCTTTCAGGAATTCGTGAAAATTAATATATTCTTAAAAATAAAATTTTTAAAATTAATTGCCTAAATCTCTACTTAAACTACAATTTAATTAGTTTTTATAAGTATTACAGCATAAGATAATATTAGTGATAAACATGTTATCAATGTTTGCCTATTGATTGCATACAAACTGTTTCTGTAAACGTTTAACTATTGTCTATATCTTTGTATATGAATTGTAGTAATTAATTTGTAATAATAAAAAATATCAATAAATAATGTATAAAATATTTAGGTCACAAATGGCAATTTTTGAAATAGCATTATTTATAGGTTAGTGATTCGTAATGTTAGGTTAGGTTAGGAATGGTAATAAAGAGATCCTTATGTCACATCATTTGATCCAATTTGATATATTCGACTTTAAAGTCGAAATTTTTTCTCTATCATAATTTAACAATATAATATATGATTTTAATTTAGTTTTTAATGATAATAGCAAATCTAATATCAATATGTCATTATATCAAATATTTATTAAAATAATAAATTTAAAATTAAAAATTAAAGCTTTAATGTTAAAAATATTGGATATAATGACATTTCGATTTTAGATTTGATATCAGCATTAAAAACTATAATGAAACCATGTATTATATTCATAAATTATGCTAGTGAAAATTTTTCGACTTTAAAGTCGAATATTTTTAATTGCTGAGGTCAGAAAAGTATGTCTGTAGTATGGGAGAACTCAGGGTGTCTGGGTTACCATCACTATACAGGTTTTCAAATTCCTTAAAGGAACTCATAAACCCATAATCTATAATACTTTGTATTACTTTATTTGTGATAACTTTTTGTTTGTGTATATTTTGTAGTATACGTGTGTAAAGGTATAACACATATGCTTAACAGTGCTTTACTATTACAAATCAAATTCATATACAAAGCTATTAATTAATATATACAGTATTGTTATTATATTTGTTTTATTATATTAAATATTGTACTTTTGAACTATAATGTTATATCTACAGTATATGTCGCCATAAGTAATATCAATAGGATATAAAATGTATTAATAAATATTTATTTACATATTATTATTGCAATTTATTTATTTTATTATATTCTTATTCTAATTTAAAATTTAAAAACAACTGTAACTAATTAATAAAAGCATAATCTATTTATTTGTAATTAATATTTTAGATTATTAATATTAGCTCACAATAAAGTAAGTATAATTATTAACTAATTATATAGTTTTTTAAATGAATTAATAAGATATATATACTGATATATAAGTAAATCGAAGAATTTGTTTTATTAAGTTAAATAATAAAAAATTATTATTACAAAAAAACTAATAATTTGTACACTCTAGACTATAAATTAATTAACAATTATTAAATATAAATTAATTTTACTTATGAAATATTTTATTCAATAATTTCTGTTTGTTGTACAGTAACTTTAATAATAATTTTAATTATATTGAACTTTTCAATCAATTTATATAAAAAATAATTTATCTAATATTAATTATTAAATATGTGAAATTATTTTTATCTGTTTACTATACTGAACAGTCTAGTTATAATAATTTTATAGAAAATTTCCCAAAATTCTGGTTCTGAATCCATGTCTTCTGAACGTAGTTTCCGTTCATTTTCTATAAGTTGTTGAAGTTTTTCATGAAAATTGCTATCGTTTGTTAAAACTTTACTATCGATAGCCCATTCATTGTACTGTTCAATAATCTGAGCACAAGTAGGTCTCTCATTATAGACCGGTTGCATCGTGTGTTTAATTATATCCAATAGTTTACAATATTTATTACTCCACTCGTGTTTAGTATACATATCGCGAGAACTAAAGATAAAATTATTTAAAAATCTAATGATCCCCAATAATTAGCACCCAATCCATAGACCCGATCATCATCTTTGGTAACAAATAGCATATTAACCCCCAAATCGTCGTCAAACACATAAAATCTTTCAATCCTTTTGATCCAATCATCTGGTGTTAAGTCTTGTGTTTTTATATTTTCAAAATTCATTATATTTTGATATAAATTTTCATTTTAAATTTGTTCAAATATTTTGTTTACAAAATAATATTTTAAAAACTATTTTCTTAATAATCACACACTGTTTCTGCAATCACTAATATATCATATATAGTCGTATTATATTTGTTTTATTATATAAAATATTTTATTTTTGAGTTTAATATTATATCTATAATATGTGTAACCAGAAGTAATAATCAAATATTTTTGCAATTTATTTATTTTATTGTATTATCATTCTAATAATATATTAAAAACACTTTTTTTTATAAAATTATTATATTTTAATTATAAAAGTAAATGTCAAATAATAAGTGATAAAAACATTTTTTTGCTCATATCTTATATATTATATAAATTAGGGTTGCGAAAGGTTTTCGATCTCAGGGGGGGGGGGTATAGGGCGGTGGGTAAAATGTGAAAATATTAATCCCCAAATTGTCGTCAAACACATAAAATTTTCAATATTTTTGATCCAATCATTTGGCGTGTAATGTTTTGTTTCTAATTTTTCAATTAAATCTAATTTAATATTATAAATTGTATTCCCAATAAATTTAATCATATTTAAAGTAAATTCATTTGTAGAAAATGTTTTATAAGTTATATGATATCCATCGACACAATAATCAAAATAATTTTGAAAATTTGTTACTTTTTTATTATTTAATATAATTTTATAAACAATATTATCCATTAACTCACATATATAAAATAAAAAGTTAATTATTAATATAAATATTCTTTATTTAATATAAAATACAATATTTTATATTATATTATTAAGTATTTAGTATATATCTGTTATTTAAAATAATTTTATGATTTTTATTATTTTTATTACATTATTCTATTAATAATATTTGTTTGATTTAAATATTAGTTTATTAATAATTATAATTAAATTTACTACAAATAATTTATAGAAAATTAATTTATAATTTCTATTTCATTGATAACTATTTAAAAAAATAATAATTAGTTGCTTAAAAACTTTTTAAATTGACTAAATCTCTACTTGAATACAGTTTGATTAGTTTGTATGAGTATTACAGCATAGGATAGTATTAATGATAAACATGTTATCAATGTTTGTCTATTGATTGCATACAAATTGAATGCCGTAAATGACATTTCAGGGATCAGGGCTTTCATTAACAATATAACTGTATTGTTATAAATATTTCGATAGAGATTTTTATTATTATTATTATTATTAGTATTGTTTAGATATAAATTATTTTCTGTATAAACCAATTGTAAGTCATAGCTAAACTTGCGATAACTGTTGGGTATAATATCGCAGACAACTGTTATTAGTACCAGTTGTGTAATATTAGACATCATTACGCCTAACAAATAGCTGGCACCGGGCGATGATGATGATGATGATGGGGTAGTGGTGTGGCTAACAAATGTCATACATAGCATACATATGATGTTTACTGAACTAATGGTCAACAGTGATAGCAAATAAAACGATACCATTTGATCAAATTGTTTGACAAACCTATTAGTTTTGATAACATAGCTATAAATAGTGGTTAGACTATACATGTGTTGGACATTTTGTCGGAGCAACCATTGAAATTGTCGACTGATTAGATAGCTCTGGTAGGCTACCAGTGCCACGATTAGCATATGTAGATTGTGTGATGAAAAATAGATCAGCGCTGACACCGTATGATTAAAATGTAGGGAACCATCGGTATTATTATGCAAGTTGTCTACCGTAGTAAAGGCTATATAATAGGGTATGTTTAGTGTTATACATGTTAAACATACGCCCAGTGACAACAAAATACTAGTGCGCTGTTCAAGCCGTCTGTTATGATGACCCGACTCATAGTTTAACATTAGGTTTAGTATACTGTGGCCACGGGTCCACACAAATATCCATATAAGTACTGTCTGTACGGTATAGCTAACGGTTTTCATGTTGAACAGTATGTAGAGTATACGGTAGTGGTTGGGATCGATATCGAAATCCCGGGACTCACTCATTGTATAGCAAATGACTGTCAAATGTTGGTATAACATGACAAACATGACTGCACCGGTAATTGTGTACAGTATAGCACATTTGTATCGGGATTTTCTTGTAATATTGGTGTTGTTGTTTTCCAGCCAAATGTGTCCGAGTATTGCCAGTCCAGTGCATTGAAAATAGAGAACCAGTAGTTTGAGGCCCCGGTAATTGTCATCCGACATGTTTAGCATATATTAAATAATTTACCAAAAAAAAACAAGTAAGGTTTATGAAAATTATTTTTAACATTTTTATTTATTTTAACATTTAAAAGGAAACGAAATATTTAAAAAATATTTATATAAGAAAAATAACAAAAAATAATAAATTATTTGATTTATTCTTACACTCGGTATATACTATAAATTAATAAACAATTATTATATGAAAATTAATTTTACTAATTAAATATTTTACATATTTTTTCTGTTTGTTTTGTAATTTATAAAAAACTATATTTTAATTATAGAGAAATAATAACTTGATAATAACTTTTATTATATTAAGCTACTCCAGCAATTTATACATTTATTGATTGAACAAATACAATACAAAAACAAATATTTTCAAATTTGTATAAAAAAACTATTTAAATATATCGAGAATGGATTTTTGGAAATAAATTTAGAATAATAGTTAGTTTTTACGAATTATTTTTTTTTAATAATTTACAAATTTTATTAAGTTAAATATTTAAGTTGTTAACGTAAGTATTTAAATTATTTGACATTTATTATTATTATTTAATTGTGAATTTCTATTAACTTTAGTTAAAACAAATTTATAGAAATTTTCCCAAAACTTTGGTTCACAATCCAAGTCATCTGATCGTAGTTCCCGTTCTTTGTGTTTAATTTCAAGTAATTTTTGTTCATAATTGACATCATTTGTAACAACCTTACTATCGATAGCCCATTCATTGTACTGTTCAATAATCTGAGCACAAGTAGGTCTCTCATTATAGACCGGTTGCATCGTGTGTTTAATTATATCCAATAGTTTACAATATTTGTTACTCCACTCGTGTTTAGTATACTTATCGCGAGAACTAAAGATAATTTTTTTTTTAAATTTACTTTTAAATCTGAATTATCAATAAATACAAACTCATTGACATCCGTATCGAACAACTCTTCAATAATAACACTAATACTATAGACATCAGCTTTGGTATCATATTTGCGACCACTTATGACTTCGGGTGCCATATATTTAGGACTTCCCACACCTGATGTATGACTCTGTGATACCTTTTCGTGAACTGTTATTAATCCTAAATCACATAACTTAACGAATCTCCCGTTTATGATATCGTCGGCAATCAATATATTGTCGGGTTTGAGGTCACGATGAATGACCGGTGGTTGCAATTCATGTAAATATCGGACACATTCTAACACTTCTAACAGTAATTCACACGTAATATAATACTCCATACAATCCATGGGTTCATCTGATGATTGTCTGCCAAATACCTGTGTTTTCAATTTGATGGCCTCTTTTAGATTCATTAAGCAGTACTCCATTGAAATATATATACAGTTATTAAAAGCCCAAAATCCAAAAATATAAACTAAATATTGTGTCTTAATTTTAGTAACTTTATCTATCTCTTTATAAAACACATTGTTTAAAGTAAAATAATCTATTAATTTTAAATAAATAATTTAAATTGTTATTGATAAAATATTAAATAAGCTATAAGCTAAAAATAATTATTTTTACAATATCAACATCAATAATTATAATTTATTAATTACCAGGTAGTTTAATTATTTTGATTGCTTTAATATCTTTCTGTAATTTATCTTTGCATTTATAAACTGATCCAAAGTTTCCCGAACCCAATGATTTTAATTCATCATAACATCGATAATAATTGTTTTCAATATTATCTATAAGTATTGTAATAAACATTACTATTAATAAAATAATAATTAGTATTAAATACAATTTATTGATTATAACAAACCTGTATTCAAATCATCGATTTCTAAAAACTCATCTTTAATTGATTTAACAGAATTTTCAATAAAATTATTAATATTTTTAGTAAAATCACTTGAGTTATATGTTTTATGTATTAAATGATATTCATTGACACAATAATCAAAATAATAATTATAAGTAGTTTTAATTGTAGTATTTCCTACCAATTTATAAACTAAATCATTGATTAAACATAAATATATCCTTTCATTCCATTTATTTGATGAAATCGACTGAATATTTAAAAATTGTTTACAACTTCCCAATAGTTTATGTATCGCTTGTATATTGATTTCATTGTTTTCATTATAATATTCGCCACAAAAATATACTTCATTTTTATGATCACTACTAAAATAACTAATTCCTGCACCCGATTGTATTGATGTAATGCCAGACAAATTTGATATTAATTTTGGTCTAAATATTATCAAATCATTTGAATTAAGTCCCAATTGATTGCTACGATTTTGACCCCAACTAAACACCTGCCCATCACCTGTCAGTGCAAACGATGAACAGTGAAAACAGTGAACAGATTTTATATAATAATTATTATTGAAATTTATTTTTTCCGGTGTAATAATGGCCTCACAAGTGGTGTCTCGGCTACCAATTTGTCCGAAATCATTGCTTCCCCAACCATACACTTCATTATTATTTTGTGTTACAACTAATGTGTGATTTGAACCACAACTTAAATCAATTATCAAATCATTGTTTTCATTGATTTGTATAATCATTGGTTTCCTATATTCAAAATCTTCATATCCCTGACCCAACTGTCCGTCTCTATTATAACCACAACTATAGACACAATTATCACTCGACACACAAATTATGAATTCGTCTCCATTAATAAAATTAATAATCTTTTTATGTCTCAAATCAATGATCTCTTGTGGTTCACTCACCCACAGGTTGTGTCCCAAACCTAATGATCCCCAATAATTAGCACCCAATCCATAGACCCGATCATCATCTTTGGTAACAAATAGTATATTAACCCCCAAATCGTCGTAAAACACATAAAATCTTTCAATCCTTTTGATCCAATCATCTGGCTTTAAGTTTTATGTTTTCTTATTTTCACAATTCATTATATTTTGCTATAAATTTTAGTTTTCATTGGGTTTTAACATTTTATTTGAAAATTAATATTTAAAAAAATATTTTCTTAATAATTACATACTGTTTATGCAATCATATATAGTATTATTAAACTGTATTTGTTTTATTACATTAAATATTTTACTTTAATATTATATCTACAGTATGTATAACCATTAGTAATAATCAATAAGATATATTATTCACTTATAATTATTTCAATTTATTTATTTTATTATATTTTTTATGATTTAATCATAAAAAAAACTTTTATATAATTATTATATTTTATTTAATTATAAAACTAAATGTCAAATAATGTTTGATAATAACATTTTTTTTGCTCATATCTTATATGAAATATAAAATGAAAATTGAATTATTAATATAATTATAGAGTAATTAATCATAATTGATATGATTATGAATTGATAATTTGGTATACATTATATACATTATTTAATTTTATTAAAAAATAATTAATTGTTTAAAATAATTGATTAAATCTCTACTTGAATACAGTTATTGATTAGTTTGTATAAGTATTACAGCATAGTTTAGTATTAATGATAAACATGTTATCAATGTTTGTCTATTGATTGCATACAAACTGAATGCCGTAAATGACATATCAGGGGACAGGGATTTCATTAACAATATAACTGTATTTTTTATATAAATATTTTGATAGAGATTTTTATTATTATTATTAGTATTGTTTAGATTTAAATTATTTTCTGTATAGCAATCAATTGTAAGTCATTACAAACAATTTTTTAGTAAAATATATCTCCAATTTATCGATATTTAACAATATATACCAAACTAATGCAACAAATTTTTTTAAAAAATGTGTATTAGTAGGAAAAAAACTAAATATATTGATTTAATGATATAAATTAATTAATCAAATTGTTTTGATAATATGGGAAGTTTTATAACTTTATAAATTAATACAATATATTAACTACAAATATATTATTACTGTATACACATTGTCATTATGTGAAAACAAAATAATTATGCAATTAGTTATTATACCTAATTTTGACTAACAATTATAATTATTAAAAATCTAATTACTTATATAAATATAAATATATATATATTTATAAATATTTATTACTATTAAATAGATTTGAATAATATTTATTTTAATTTGTATTATTCAAATTATATTTAAACGCAATAATCAAATTAATTGATTTATAATTAGATAAAAAATATCATAATTTATAAACAAATATCTTTCAAATAATTTTTTTGTGTTTTTTAAATAAAGTAAAACAACAAACATTAGTAGTAATAAATTAAATTTTATTAATTATATTAGCAATTAACTATTGTTAATATTTATTTTTTTAATAAAATATTATTTAGAAAAAAATATTTTACATTAGTATTAGACTAAACAGAGAAAAAAATGTTAAACAAAATTTGCAAAATTAATAAATTTATTATACAATTGTATTTTAAATCATTATTATTACAAACAAATAGTAATAATAATAATAATAACAATATTATTAAATTAATATTTTCAATATGTTTTGTGCTAAACATTAGTAAATGTATGATTTGTTTGAATACTATTACTACTATTACAGTAGAAACTCGTAAACTATTATTTGATTTCAGCTATTTTATTGATGGTATATATTTGTATAATGAATTTTCATTGCTATTATTGACATTATTGGGAGCAATTATGTATTATATTATACATTATAAACATAATTATGATCAAAAAACAATGGATTGGATTGAATTGTTTATAATACTAGAGAATCCGATTAGTTTTAAACAATTAAAATTGAAAAATTCATGTAAAAACAAGTTTAATAATAATAATAATAACAATAAATTTTTACAATTTCTATGCACTGATAATAGTTTACTAATAAATTCAAAATATTTAGCTATTTTTATTATTTTTTCTATCAATTGTACTTTACTATATTCAGGTAAAAAAATTATTTATTATATATAAAAAAAATTTATCTAAAAATAAATGCTATTTCAAACTATTTATTAAATTATTATTTAAAATTAATTTATTTTTTTTTGTTACAGTAATATTTTTCATTTATATGCTATTGAAACTATATATCAATTATAATTATCAATGGTTTGAAATTATTATATCGTTTATACCAATTGTAGTATTTTTAATAACATATATGAGTTTTATATGCGATCAATCATTTATAGCAATAATACAATGTTTAATATTATATTTACTATTGAATAAAATCAAACTAATCAATAGTTTTCTAACTACAAAAATTAATTGTTATAAATCTATAGATAGTATCTATAAGTTTATTAAACAACACAATCAAATTTGCCAATTAATTTCAGACTATAATAAATTTGTTAGTAATTTAATATATTGTGAACTAGTTTGTTGGCTACCATTTAATTTGTTGTGTTGGCATCAAATATTTTTTGTTGAAACAATTATCATTGAATTACGATTGACATTAATTATACTATCAATGGGTATCCTATGTTTGATATTTTCAATGTTATTCATTCAAGCATTACTATCGTATAAATTGCATTCAAATTTCAAATTATTAGCACATATTCAATGGCGTCTAAATCGATGGCCATTTAGTGGTAGTCATCAAAGTTTTAAACTAAAATTAATGACATATTTTGAACGACTGTCCAGTAATAGTAATAATAATAATAATAATAATAATAATAATCGGATAATTGGTATAAATGTTGGACCGTTTGGTGCCACAACTTTCCCAATGTTTCAATTGGTTGGGTATAATTTAATTTAATTTTATATTATAATACTTTTAATTAAAATTTATTTTTAAAAATATACAATTTTTGTTTTAATATTTTTTTATATTAATTAATATATATATAGATTGTCATAAAATATGTGCGATATTTTCTATTAGTACATATGTTATCATCAAAAATACGTTAAACTAAAACATTATTAGTATTATTACATGTAAGTATTCTTTTGAAAAAAAATAAATAATTATTATGAATTTTAAGTGACAATATTATAGTTATTATATATCTAAAAAATATATTAATAAATAATACAATACAAAATAATTTTTGATAAAAATATAATATAATGCTATCAAATGTTGTTATATGTGTTATTTTTTTGTAATATATTTTGAACATTTATTAATATTTATTGTTATTGACGTATATCAAATAAAACATTTATTAATTTATGTTATTATTTTAAGTAGTTATAGACTATAACTTATAGTTATACTTATATATATATATATATATATATATATATATTTGTAATTGTTAGTAATATTTATGACTTAATATATTGATTAATTATTAATAAAAAATAAATGTTTTATATAGCTATCTTAATTGTATAATGTACTTAAATATAATTATTAATTAATTATTAATAATAATCTAAAAATAATATAAATATTTAGTTCTTAAATAATTATGATTAATATACAGTGTAATTAATTTTTATATAACAATAATAAATAATTATGACTAAAAATAATTATCATATATAAAATAATTACGAATTCAAATGAAACAAAATTTATAAATATATTTATTTAGTTATTATCTTTATATAATGTTTTATTTTTTGAAAGCAATTACTGTAACAGAATATTATTCTATAGAAAATTTAAATTAAAATTCAATGAAAGTGATAATAATATTCAAAAATATTTTAAAATAACAAAAAAATATATTTCATTTTCATATAATAAATTTAAAAAATATGAATACCGTTAAAATCAATAGACTATTGCCTCGTGAAGTACTTATTAAGGGCGCCGACAGTCAACTGTACTAAAGCGGACTGTATGTCAAACTATCACCGAAAACAACAACAACAACAACACAACCGTCCAGACACTGGTCAGCCCATCCACTGTTGAATCCATTGCTAGTTATTATAAATTATAAATATTAACCTATAAATTTTAAATAATTTTAAATTCATAAAAATAAAACATACAAAAAAAATGATATGCGCCCAACGTGGGGCTCGAACCCACGACCCTGAGATTAAGAGTCTCATGCTCTACCGACTGAGCTAGCCGGGCCTAGCATGTCAAAATTTTAGCTTAATTATCTATAATAAAGTATATATATTATCAGCTAGATAAATAGATAATAAAAAGTTAAGATAAGCTTGTTTATATTTAATATTATCTTAATTATAAATTTATTTTTTTATATATTGAAAAAATCAAATCTTGAAAAAAATAAACTAAACAATATATATATATAAGTTTATATGTTATAATAATAATATAGTATAAACAAATATTATTATTATTATTATTATTATTATATTTTTTATTAATGCCTATTATTTTTTTAATATCTAATATTTTTTAGCAAATTATGTTTAAAAATTTTTTTATTACAAACATAAATAATTTTTATAATAAATAGTTTATAAGAAAAAGCAAAATTTATATTTTAAAAAATCCCTTTTATCTTAATTTTTTAATTAAAAACATAATAAAATTTAAACTTTAAAATTAATAATAAAGTTATTTAAGGCATCTAATAATAATAATAATAATAATTTTATCAAAATTGTAAATTAAATAATAAGTAGTATATAAATATTTAACATTGATAACTTATTGGCTAGAAATTAATTATAATAATTTTGAAAGTTTTAAAATATTAAAAGACTGTTATTTATTTATAATCATATAATTAATATATGTATAAATAAAATATAACAAATATATCAATAGGTTAAAGACTGTCAAGTAATATAGTAATTAAATTTTAAACATTTATTTTATAAGATATTTATAAAATGTTGCATTTTTAAAATTTATTAATTACTAACTATTTATAAATATTAAATTTATAGTTTGTAGGAAAACTAAAAAAATAAAAAATAATTTAATTAATTAAGTAATTTGTATTATTTTCTGTTTTTATATTATAACAATAAAAACTGTAAACTATTAATTAAACCCTAAATTTTACAATTTTACAACGTTTTACAATTTTTTAATAAATTAACAAAAACTATTATATGTTTGAATATGAAAAATTACCAAGTTTATTTTAGTTTTTTTTATAATAATAAATAAATAAATAATAGTTTATAGTTAGAAATAATATTAATAATAAAATACATTTTTTAAATCTCCAAAACAAATAGTTATTAAAAACAAAAATTAATTAATTAGCAAAAAAAAATCTAAATATAATTAGAAAAATAATTCTATAAATTAAATATAATTAAATATATATATATATAATCATAAATATAACCAATTAATACATCAAACATATATTATAATCAATTAAATAACTTTATAATATTTTGTTGATATAAATTGATTGAATTAAACCCCTAAAAAAATTGTTGTCTACCCAAGTATACCACCGACAACACCACCACCACCACCGGCAGCTGAACCACCACCTAATAGTCCGCCACCCAATATATTGTCCAACAGGCCGTTCATACCCAACAGTCCCAGTAAGCCCAAGCTGCGCAATGTTAGCAATAGTAGGCCAACCACATAGCATAGTATATTGGTTAGTGGTGTGACGGCACCCTCGACAGTATTATTGCCGGCCAATACAACCTGCAATATAGGCGATACCAGATTGGACAGTAGGGTTTGCAGGAGTAGGCCCAGTACCTGGCCAGTCGATAACCTTGATGCTGCCCGAATCAGTTCGAAACAATTATCAATACCGGGTCCCGGTGGATATGGGCCAGGTGGATAGGGACACGGTGGACAGTAGTGTTGCCATTTGTCGCCATCCCAGTTGCCGCCGCCATCGCGTCGGCCACAGTTGCAGTTGCATTGACAGCCGCCGCCATTCGGACAGTAACTGTTGCTACGATTGTTGGCCACTTGTTGTTGTTGTTGTCTACCATTGTTATTGTCGGCTACCTGTGCTGATGATGATGATTGTTCACAGCTAACTAAAGCTATAACAAACAGTAATAGGCATATTGTTAGTATTGATTTGAGCATCATCGTCAAAATTAATTATATAATAATTATAATTTATAACAAATTTTTATTTAGTTTTATAATTAATTATTTTATATAGAAACACAGTTAGATAATTATTTTTAACTACTGGTGCTTTCAGTATGGGTTATATTTAGTGTTGAGTTCCTGCGCTTATATACCCCAAAAAATTAATACAATTTTTGATGTTGTTGTTGTTGTGAAATATATTTTAGTAGTAAAATATTGTACTAATAATAATAATAATAATTTTTTGTGACTATTGTTTTACTAATTATTGTTTATTAATTTATATAAATATGTTTGTTTATTATAAACTTATTTTTTGCTTTTATTTTGATTAAATATGTTTCCCAAAAATATATTATTAATATAAATTTATTGTTTATATAATTAATTTTTTTTAACAAACAAATTTATCCTAGTTTATTACACAATTAAATTACATGAATACATAATACGGTAGTAAATTATTATGAAAATTGTTTTTTTAATAAAAAATAAAATATTAGTCTAATTTGTTTTATTTGTTATTTTATTTTAGCACACAATTAATAAACAAATTTATTGAATAATTAATACTAGTACATTTTATATATTTATAATTGATAAAAATGTATAACTTATAATAAATAACATTTTTTAAAAATTACTTATATTTATATATTTATTAGTAGTTATCTATTTTAATATAAACTAATTTTTATTAACTAGTATTATTATATTAACTAATATTAATTATTAAATAATAATAAATACTAAATGAATTATATAAGTAGACAATAAATAATATAATTTTAAAAATTTATTTATAATTATATTTTGCAATAAATATTTTTATTAAATTAATTAATATAAATATTTTTTATTTCAAAAAAAAATTATTATTACATATTTATTGAATACAAATACAATTTTGAAACTGAAAATTAAAACCCAAAAAAAATAATGTAAAAACAAAACAATTATTAAGAAAATTACGAAAAATTATTGGAGATTTAAAAAAATGTTTATTAAATACAAAAAAAAATAATTAATTAAATAAATAAATAGATAAATCAGTGCACAAAAAATAATAATGTTAAATTACTCATTAAATAATTGCAAACAAAAATTATAGTTTAAGGTTTTCAATTAGCCATCTCCCGGTGCTGCTTACGGTTAGCCGAGACCACCGCCCAGTATATTGTCAAGTAGACCACCCATACCCAGTAGGCCGAGTAAGCCTAAGCTTCTCAGTGTCAACAATAGCATACCCAGTGTAACACACAGGGTATTAGACAGAGGTACGACTGCACCCTCGACTGTATTATTACCGGCCAATACTGTACGCAATATAAACCCTAGATTGCCGAGCAATGTACTGAGTGTACCGCCCAAAAGTTGGCCAGTGGACATGTTTTGGGCCAATCGGATACGTAGGAAACAGTTGCCAATTGCTTGACGTTTGTCTTTGCCGTGATGGTGATGATGACCATCACCGCCAATACCGATGCCGCCGCCACTATTGACACCGCCAGCACCTGTATGCCATTCCCAGTGATAGTGTTCGCACAGTGGACACTGACCGGGCAGGTTGGACCAGCTTTCATATTGGGGCCGGTATTTCCATTCCTGAGCCCATATCCGATCGCAATCGCACTCGCAGTTACAACAGCAACCGTTTTTGCCGCCGCCTCCGCCGCCACTGTATTCGGGTTCAGCTCCGCCACCACCGCCACCTCCCGGATAGTACGGACGGCTCGGTACGTACGGTCTCTCGGGATGGGCATAATCGGGATACTTGTCCCAGAAACTGCCGTAACCGGTCTTATTAGACGGTACCTCCTGTGGTGCCGTTGCAGCTGCTGCTGCTGGTGCTGTAGCACCGGTAGCTACAGTGTCTACATTATTATCGCCTAATGCTATATCTGTGGCTAATATAATAAGACTAGTAATTATTATTATTATACTGATAGTTGACTTGAGTTTAGCTAACATTTTAGTGGCATTTGGGAGTCAAACTAGAGTCGACTTATCGTTTAAATAGATGTTTGTTTTGGGGAAACAATTAGTTCATAAATTAATTATTATTATTAGTATTATAAATAAATAAATTCATATGTGTCCTAAATTTATTCAAAATTTATTTATATATTTCTATTATTGAATAATTAAATAATAAAAATTAATAAATAAATATTTTTTTTAAATATTGTGTATGAATTTATTTTTTTATTACTTAAATGTGAAACAATGCTAAAAATATGTATTGTTTATATAAAAAAAAGTTTTATATTATAATACAATAGAATTATTTTTTTTTTTTAAAATATGTAATTAATAGAAATTTATTTATTAAAAAATTATTTTTATTATTATATTCAGTATATTATAATATATGATTTTATGTACAATTATATGCTGTAATTTTTTTTATAGAAATTAATAAATTAGTAAACATATGATTAGGAAATGTTAGTTAAATAATTGAAACCCAATACCAAAAACAAATATAAATAATTATATATAAATACTGTATAATATTATGATCCCGCTATTTCCCAAAATATTAACCAATATATATAAATAACATTTTTTATAATACATTAAATACCGTTATATATGTTTATATATAAGTTATATATAATATATATTTAAATCCCATAATTATATTTAAGCAAAAATTAAAAATTAAATTATTTTTTTTAAATCACCGATTGATAGGCAAACTAACTATTAATTATAAACAACAACAAAATTTTTTTATACATATCTAACCACCTATTAGTCCGCCGCCACCTAATCCTCCTAACCCTCCCAGTGCACCACCACCACCACCACCACCTCCTAGTCCACCCAAAGCGCCACCACCAGTAAGATTACCCAAACCACCTAAACCTCCCAAACCACCCAGTCCTCCTCCACCACCACCGCCACCTAAAGCGCCACCAGCACCTCCTATAGCACTGGCACCGCTAGATATAGCTCCGGCAGCACCGCCGCTCAATATATTGGACAACAGGCCGCCAAACCCTAGTAAACCTAACAGTCCGAGACTGCGTAACAATAGCAATACCAGACCCAACAGATAGCACAGTGTGTTGGTCAAGGGTAGGACTGCCAGTTCCAGTGAATTGTTACCGGTTAGTACTGTAGCCAAAATGTAGGCCAAATTGCCTAACAATGTGGCCAATACAGCACCGATTAGCGTACCGGCATCCAGTATACTAGCCGCCCGTATGGCCGTAAAACAGTTGGCCAGTACTTGACGTTTTTGCCGAGTTGATGATGATGACGATCCGTTAGTCCACGACCCCTGTCCATCCACATCATCATCGATGGTGTCGCCGCTGCTGCTGCTGCTGCTATTGTTGGCGACTTCGCGGCCGCCAATCATAAACGGTATGGGACATATAGGACAGCCCTGGGGCGGACAGTTGCACACACAGTTGAAACAGGTATTGTTGGCAACTGGTGGACACGTACCGCCGGGAGTACCGGGAGTTCCCGGCCCACCTGGACCACCAGGTCCGCCAGGTCCACCCGGGCCACCAGGACCTCCAGGCCCTCCCGGACCACCAGGGCCACCTGGTCCGTTAGGTCCACCAGGACCGCCTGGACCTCCAGGACCACCCGGTCCACCTGGACCTCCAGGACCGCCAGGTCCACCAGGTTGGCCAGGCTGACCCGGCCCACACGGTCCTAGAGTTGGCGGAAATGTTATCGGCGGCCACAAAGTTGGTTCGGGTAGCCACGGATATTGCGGTGGTCGGTATAGGTGTGTTCGGTCACCATCTTCGCCGTCTTCGGTAATAATATAGCCGGTGTTACCGTCGTTGCCGTTGTCATCACCGTCGTGTTTGTTGACCACATTGTTGTCCAATGAGTTGGCCACTACCGCCGGTTCCTCATCCGACCCGTCCTTTACCACTGAACAGTGGACACCGTTAGGTATCGGTGCCAATGAACTAATAATTACTATTACTTTGAATAATAATAGTAATAATCGTTTTTGTGATGACATTGTTTTTTTTTGATTGATTTTTTTGTTGATATAAAATATTAATTAATTAACATTTAAGAAAAAATAATGTTTAATTAAAATAATAAATATTATTCATATACAATATATATGAGATCATAGATTATATTATATTATAATTTAATAATATATTTTTAAAAATAATATTTTAATTAATTTCTAGCCATATATTAAATATATATATATAACTATTGTATTTTATATAAAATATATTGTTAGCAATTAAATTTTAACTGCTATTTATAAGATTAGAAATTATTATTATTATTATTATAAACTCAAAAAAATTATTTATATTTTACTTATTATATCATTGTATTACTAATAATAAAAACAATAAACTATTAAATATTTATTTAAAATTTTCCATTAATTATACTCATTATGTATACAATAGGATTACAATATAATAATTATTTTTTGATAAAATAAGTTTTTTTAAAAAAATAAAAATAATTTTTGCACAAATGTTTTAATAGAATATGTATTTTTTATGTGATAATGAAAACAATTTGAATATAAAATTGAATAATAATAACAATACAGTATAAATAAAAAACATTATTTAAAATAACATTATTATTTTAATTATTTTTTAATACAACTTTAATATTATATAAAGGTTATGACCTTGCTCAAAATAGACAATTAAAATTAGCATGTGCATTTTTGCAAACTGGACAAAACATGCACATGTGGTTATAATAATAATAATAATAATTAGTTAGAGTTATCTTATTTAAATTACATAATAAATTATTACAATTTTTTTCACAATCAATAGAAAAATTTTGTATATAAATAATTTTAAATATTAATAATAATAAAATTAAAGTTCATTGCTCATTTTTGTTTAAAATAAAATAAAATAAAACAAAACAAAAATATTCATTCACATATTGAGTATATAAATTGATCAATTTAATACCATTTAATTATCACATAATTTATTATTAATAATTATATAAAATTATATATAAATATCAAATTTATTTATAGCATATTTATTTAGTATAATTATTTAAATATTAAGTATTTTTTATAATTAAATACTTAATTATTTAATGTATTGATAGGCATCAGTATCTCAACAGTGAACTATAATAATAATACTAATAATAATACCAATAATAATTAAAAAAAAAATATGAATCTCATAACCTGTCTATTGGTGACGGCTATTATCATAGGGACGACACTGGGCTCACAGTACAAACAATACTCATCGCTGGCCAAACGTCAGGCCCTGACGTCGGGTATCTGTCCCAATGGTGGCTGTGCCTGCACTTGTAACTGTGGCCAACAAGGTGGTACCGGAATCGTTTGCCCGCCCTGTCCGGGAGCACCACCCGGAACACCAGGTGGTCCGGGAGGTCCAGGCGGACCAGGTGGTCCTGGCGGTCCGGGTGGCCCAGGAGGTCCTGGTGGACCACCAGGTCCCGGAACTCCCGGAACTCCAGGTCCTCCTGGTACACCGACACCCGGTCCGGGAACACCAACTCCAGGCCCAATGGGTCCCGATAGTTGTTTCCCAATGATCCGGGCCGTCCAAGGTCTATCAGCTGGTCAGCTAATTGGTCTACTACTGTCGACACTGTTGTCCAATCTGGCCGTACCTATACTACAGACTGTATTGGCCGGCAATAATACACTGGAAGGTGCAGTCATACCTTTGGCAAACATACTGTGCTATGTTGTCGGTATACTATTGCTACTATTGAGAAGTCTTGGTCTATTAGGATTGTTAGGTATGGGCGGTCTGTTGGCTAATATATTGGGCGGCGGTATCGGCTAACTGTGCATTTTGGATGACTAGGGTGTATGTGTGCCTATATATATGTGTCATATATTTATTTTTAAAAAATAAAAATCATATATTATGGTATTTTAATATATTTAATATATATATATGATAATTATGATAATATATACATTATTTTTTTGTCAATCATATATCAAATTGTATTATTATTATTATAAAAATTAATGTAAATTTAATTGTATGTGATTTATGTACAAAAATTATATGCTGTATTTTTCAAAAATTAAAAAAAAATAACATTTCAATAAAAAGCACTTTGATTAAAAAAAATATATTTATTATATTTTATAAAAAAAATATTAATTATATATTTTATAAAAAAAATATTAATTATATATTTTATTAATATTTATTTTTATTTAAATATTTTTTAAACACATTTCTATTTAGTTGGAAAAAAAATTATATTAATTTTTTAAAGAGTATGTCAAATATACAGTATATAAATATTTTATAATACTTTTTAAGGTTTATATATAAATATATTTTTTTGATTATTTTTTCATAATAATAAATAGTGTATTGATTAATAATTTTTTATACTCTATTAAATAGTTGTTATAATAGTTGCCAAAAAACATCAAATAGTTGTTAAAATAGTTATTTAAACTGTATTAAATAGTTGTTATAATAATTGCCAAAAAAGCCAAATAGTTATTGAAATAGTTATTTATTTTCTTATAAATATTTCAACTGATATATAATTCACTGTTTTCAGCATATTTACAAAAATGATTTATATAAATAAACTAAATATTTCTATTGTTAAAAAAGTAATATGAGTTGATAACAGTTTACACATGTTATATAATTTATATAACTATTACTTTTTGTTTTTACATATATTTGAGCAATATTTTACAATCTAATGCTTATATTTTTCAAAATAACTGAAATAGTTATTTATAAGTTTTTATAGTTGCTAACCTAACAAATAGTTATTTATAGTTATAATAAAATTTCGGAAATAGCGTCCACTGGTCAACTTCGGTGGACATACTAAGTCCCAGTTATAAGCGTTAAACCGACAAAATAATTTTTTTAGTTGAAAATCAAGACACTGATAATAAAATATCAATAATAATGTACAATAATTACTATTAAAAAAAGTAATTTAATATACAATGTAAATATAACTATGTAAACACAATCAACAATAACATCATCAAAAATTTAATTAATTGCTATATAATAAACTAAACTAATTTTTATTTATATATAATATATTTGTTATATAATATTTACTTAAGTTATGAAAATTGATTATTAAAATAATAACAAACAAATAGCTAATAAAATAATTTATTAAGTAATTTATCGATTAGATCAATGAGTAATAAAAAATATAAAAAATATATGGTATAATGTATTAAAAGCTACAAAAAAATATTTTTTTTAGAAAAAAGTATTATTTGATAAACTATTCAATATATGCTAAACATGTCGGATAACAACTACCGGGGCCTCAAACTACTGGTTCTCTATTTTCAATGCACTGGACTGGCAATACTCGGGCACAGTTGGCTGGGAAACAACGGCACCAATATTACAAGAAAATCCCGATACAAATGTGCTATACTGTACACAACTACCGGTGCTGTCATGTTTATCATGTTATACCAACACTTGACAGTCATTTGCTATACAATGAGTGAGTCCCAGGATTTCGGTATCCATCCCAACCGCTCCCGTATACTCTACATACTGTTCAACATGAAAACCGTTAGCTTTACGATACAAACAGTACTTATATGGATATTTGTGTGGACCCGTGGCCACAGTATACTAAACCTAATGTTAAACTACGAGTCGGGTCATCATAACAGACGGCTTGAACAGCGCACTGGTATTTTGTTGGCACTGGGCGTATGTTTAACATGTATAACACTAAACATACCCTACTATATAGCCTTTACTACGGTAGACAACTTGCATAATAATAATAATAATAATACCTATGGTTCCCACTATTATAATCATATGGTGTCAGCGCTTATCTATTTTTCATCACACAATCTACATATGCTAATCGTGGCACTGGTAGCCTACCAGAGCTATCAAATCAGTCGACAATTTCAATGGTTGCTCCGACAAAATGCCAAACACTTGTATAGTCTAACCACTATTTATAACAATGTTATCAAAACTAATAGGTTTGTCAAACAATTTGATAAAATTGTATCGTTTTATTTGCTATCACTGTTGACCATTAGTTCAGTAAACATCATATGTATGCTATGTATGACATTTGTTAGCCACACCACTACCTCATCATCATCATCATCATCGCCCGGTGCCAGCTATTTGTTAGGCGTAATGATGTCCAACATTACACAACTGGTACTAATAACAGTTGTCTGCGATATTATACCCAACAGTTATCGCAAGTTTTGCTATGACTTACAATTGGTTTATACAGAAAATAATTTATATCTAAACAATACTAATACTAATAATAATAATAAAAATCTCTATCAAAATATTTATAACAATACAGTTATTTTGTTAATGAAATCCCTTTCCCCTGATATGTCATTTACGGCATTCAATTTGTATGCAATCAATAGACAAACATTGATAACATGTTTATCATTAATACTATCCTATGCTGTAATACTCATACAAACTAATCAAACTGTATTCAAGTAGAGATTTTAGCAATTAATTAAAAAAGTTTTATTTTTTAAACATAAAATATATATATTTTTTTAAATTAGTTTTTTTTGATAAAATTTAATAAAATAGACTCATAAATCTAAAATTAATCAATCACCTCAAAAAAGTTATTTTAAGTAGACTATAATTATATTCACTATTTAATATTATTGTATTTAATTTAATCATAAGAAACTAATATTTTTATTAAACAAATATTTTTAATAGACTAATGCAATAATCATAAAAATATTATTATAAATACATATATACTATAAATATTTAATAATACATTTAGTTTTATAAATAAGTAAAATATATTAATTATATTATAAAAGTGTTTTTAAGATAAAATTAGTATAAAAAATATAATTAAATAAATAAATTGCAAAAATAATAAGTGAATTTTATATCTTATTGATTATTACTTATGGTTACACATATTGTAGATATAATATTAGAGTTATAAGTAAAATATTTAATGTAATAAAACAAATATAATACTATATTAGTTAAAGGATTGCAAAAACAGTATGTAATTATTTAGAAAATAGTTTTTAAAATAATATTTTTAAACAAAATGAAAATCAAAATTTATATCAAAATATAATGAATTTTGAAAATATGAAAACACAAGACTTAACACCAGATGATTGGATCAAAAGGATTGAAAGATTTTATGTGTTTGACGACGATTTGGGGGTTAATATGCTATTTGTTACCAAAGATGATGATCGGGTCTATGGATTGGGTGCTAATTATTGGGGATCATTGGGTTTGGGACACAACCAGTGGGTGAGTGAACCACAAGAGATCATTGAATTGAGACATAAAAAGATTATTAATTTTATAAACGGAAAACAATTTATGATATTTTTGTCGAGTGATAATTGTGTCTATAGTTGTGGTTATAATAATTGGGGACAATTGGGTCAAGGATTTGAAAATCTTGAATACAATAAACCAATTCATATACAAATCAATTCAAACAATGATTTGATTAGTGATTTGAGTTGTGGTTTATTTCATACATTAGTTGTAACACAAAATACTAATGAAGTGTATGGTTGGGGACGCAATCATTTCGGACAAATCGGTAGCCGAGACACCAATTGTAATGTCATTTCTAAACCCGAAAAAATTGAATTTAATGGCAATTATTTGATAAAATCTGTTTACTGTTTTGAAAACTCATCGTTTGGACTGACAAGTGATGGACAAGTGTTTAGTTGGGGTCAAAATCGTTACAATAAATTGGGATTGAATTGTAATGATTTACAAGTATTTAGACCACAATTGATATGCAATTTGTTTGGCATTACTTCAATACAATCGGGTTTAGTTATTAGTTATTTTAGTAGTTATCGTAAAAATGAAGTTTATTTTTGTGGTCAATATTATAATGAAAACAATTTAATTGAAATACAAAATACACCAAAATTATTGGCTAATTATAATGAATATTCAGATATTCAGTCAATCAGATCATATAAATGGACTTCAAGAACATCCTTGTGTTTAATGGATAATATTGTTTATAAAATTATATTAAATAATAAAAAAGTAACAAATTTTCAAAATTATTTTGATTATTGTGTCGATAGATATCATATAACTTATAAAACATATTCTAATAATGAATTTACTGAAAATATGATTGAATTTATTGCGAAAACAATTAATAATATTAAATCAGATTTAATTGAAAAGTTAGAAACACAAGACTTAACACCAAATGATTGGTTGAAAAGGATTGAAAGATTTTATGTGTTTGACGACGAATTGGGGGTTAATATGATATTTGTTATCAAAGATGATCGGGTCTATGGATTGGGTGCTAATTATTGGGGATCATTGGGTTTGGGACACAACCAGTGGGTGAGTGAACCACAAGAGATCATTGAATTGAGACATAAAAAGATTATTAATTTTATAAATGGAGACGAATTCATAGTTTGTGTGTCGAGTGATAATTGTGTGTATAGTTGTGGTTATAATAAAAACGGACAGTTGGGTCAGGGATATGAAGATTTTGAATTCAAGAAACCAATGATTATACAAATCAATGAAAACAATGATTTGATAAGTGATGTGAGTTGTGGTTCAAATCATACATTAGTTGTAACACAAAATAATAATGAAGTGTATGGTTGGGGAAGCAATGATTTCGGACAAATAGGTAGCCGAGACACCACTTGTGATGCCATTAATAAACCGGAAAAAATTAATTTTAATAATAATTATTGTATAAAATTTGTTCACTGTTTTGATAACTCCTCGTTTGCACTGACAAGTGATGGACAGGTGTTTAGTTGGGGTGAGAATCGTAGCAATCAATTGGGACTTAATTGTAATGATTTGATAATATTTAAACCAAAATTAATATCAAATTTGTTTGGCATTACATCAATACAATCGGGTGCAGGAATTAGTTATTTTAGTAGTCATCATAAAAATGAAGTATATTTTTGTGGCCAATATTATAATGAAAACAATGAAATCAATATACAAGCGATACATAAATTAATGGGAAATTCTAATCAATTTTTAAATATTCAGTCGATTTCATCAAATATATGGAATCAAAGGTTATATTTTTGTTTAATCAATGATTTGGTTTATAAATTTGTTGAAAATAAAACAATTGAAACAATTTATAATAACTATTTTGATTATTGTGTCAATGAATATCATATAATACATAAAACATATAACTCGAATGAATTTACTAAAAATATTAATAATTTTATTGGAAATTCTATAAAATCAATTAAAAATGAGTTTTTAGATATCGATGATTTGAATAAAGGTTTGTTTTAATCATTAATTTGTATTAAATACTAATTATTATTTTATTAATAGTAGTATTGATTAACATATAAATTACTTATAGATAATATTCAAAACATATATTATCGATGTTATGTTAAATTAAAATCATTGGGTTCGGGAAACTTTGGATCAGTTTATAAATGCAAACATAAATTACGGGAATATATTAGAGCTATAAAAATAATTAAACTACCTGGTAATTATTAAATTATTGATGGTGATATTGTATATATAATTATTTTTAGCATTTAAATTTAAAAAAATTAAATTCTTAAAATAAATTATAATTATTTGTAGAATTTAGAACAAATTTTTTAAAAATTATTTTCGTAATTTATATTTTTATAACATATTTTTATTAACAATTGAATTAATTTATTTAAACATTAATAGATTATTTTACATTAAACGATATGTTTTATAAAGAAATGGAAAAAGTTACTAAAATTACGGCACAATATTTAGTAAATGTTTATGGATTTTGGGCTTTTGATAATTGTATATATATTTCAATGGAGTATTGCTTAATGAATCTAAAAGAGGCCATCAAATTGAAAGCACAGGTATTTGGCAGACAATCATCAGATGAACCCATGGATTGTATGGAGTATTACATTACTTGTGAAATACTGTTAGAAGTGTTAGAATGTGTCCGATATTTACATGAATTGCAACCACCGGTCATTCATCGCGACCTAAAACCCGACAATATATTGATTGCTAACCGTATCCGAAACGGACGGTTCATTAAGTTATGTGATTATAGTATTAGTTGTATTATTGAAGAGTTGTTCGATACGGATGTCAATGAGTTTGTATTTATTGATAATTTAAATTTAAAATTAGATTTTTAATTAATTTTTTTATTTTTTAGTTCTCGCGATAAGTATATCAAACACGAGTGGAGTAATAAATATTGTAAACTATTGGATATAATTAAACACACGATGCAACCCATCTATGATGAGCGACCAACTTGTGGTCAGATTATTGAACAGTACAATGAATGGGCTATCGATAGTAAAGTTTTAACAAATAATTTTAATAATTTTAATGAAAAATTACAACAAATTAAACAAAATGAACGAAAAGTTCGTTCAGAGGACATGGATTCAGAACCAGACTTTTGGGAAATTTTCTATACATTTGTTTGCGTAAAGACTAAGTGTTTGAATAGGAATTTATAATATATATATATATATGTATTATATATATATAACATGTATATATATATTACATTACATCAAATATATATATATATATAAGATCTATAGAATAATTATTAGTAAACAGTTATAAGATTTTAAAAAAAAATAATTATTTAATAAGTTTTATAAATTTATTGTTTAAAGAAAATAAAATTAATGTATATTTTATTTTTTAAATATAACATTTTAATATTTTATTTATTATATATTCATACTAATAATTATAATATAATTTATATATAGTAAATATCTATTATTTATATGGTTAAGCATAAACTCTATTTTTAAATATAATTTTATATTACATTTTTATTATACTTGAATTTTCTATACATTAATTATAATAAAATCTAACTGTTTGTATATGAATTTTTTAATATCAATAGATAATATTTTTAAACGCACACACAAATACACACCCAAATAATAAACTATAGTAAATTTTTTAAGAGAAAAAAATATTTTTAATTATTTAAACTAATATTAATAATAATAATTTTTAAAACTTTTAATATATATATATATATAGTGTTAAAGTAATTGCCTTCAATAAAAACATTAAATAAACTTAACAACTAATAAATATATTTATAAATTTTGTTTGATTTTAATTACTACCTGTTATATAATGTATAAGTTATATAATTTTTGTCTTATTTTTTATTTTTATATAAAAATTAATTACACTCTATATTAATTTATATTAATCATAATTATTTAAATATAATATATTTATATTATTTTTAGATTATTATTAAGTATAAATAATTTAATTATACTGTCATGGGTTGTACCACCAAAACCCAAAAAGGCTAAGAAAAAGAAACTGAAAAGGACAGTACCGGTTGAAATAGAAGAACCAGTTGATGTGGAAGTGAAAGATACTCCAACAGAGGAGGCAATCGATTCACAGACAGCCGTTACAACCAATATGGATGACGCCACACAAGAGTCATCGCAAAGTGATTCAAGTGCTATTGAGTCGAGTGCTAGTAAAAGAAAGAAAAAGAAAAGTTCATCAAAGAGTAACTCAAAGCCAAGAATTAAGAATAAATCGCCAAAAAGGAAATTACCAAAACTTGCGCTTAAGTTTAGTAAAAACAAAAAGAGACGCCGTTTTGGCTCTGGTTCTGATCACTCGGATCTGGAGAAGACTCCTCCGCCATCACCTGATGACACAGAGTCTGGTCTACAAAAGAGACGTTCGGCCAGAAATACTAAGAGACGGAAATATACGGATGATATTGATTTAGATCTTTCTGATGACGATAATCCTCTTCAAACTAAAGATTCTGTTGATAATACTAGCAAACCATTGACTGATGGAAATGTGTCGAGTATCAGCGAAGATACCATGGTTGTTGAAAAGATTATGAGCTCACGAATGGGCACTCGAGAACTGGAAGATGATTTAGATCAACAAAAGATCGAACATTTCTATAGATTTCGAAAACATCCGCCGAAGAGTGAATGGAAACCTAAGAAAAGACCAAAACCTGCCGATTGGAAGAAGATTGGAGAGTCACCTGTTTATAAGGGAGTAACTACTCTTCGCGAATACCAATTGGAAGGACTAAATTGGATCAGCTTTTGCTGGCATAACAATCAAAACTGTATTCTGGCCGATGAAATGGGTTTAGGAAAGACTATTCAATCGTTGGCTTTTGTAAATGAGATGACCAATCACGGCATTAATGGCCCGTTCCTCGTAATAGCTCCACTCTCAACAATAGGCAATTGGCAGCGAGAGTTTGAGACCTGGACTGATCTGAATGTCATTACATATCACGGAAGTTCTGCGAGTCGTAATGTGCTTCAAGAATATGAAATGTATTACAAAAACGATAAATACAAAAAAATTAGCGGAATCTATAAGTTTCAAGTTATGATCACAACATTTGAAATTGTATTAACAGATTGTTTAGAGTTACGGGAAATCCATTGGAAATCCTGTATTATAGACGAAGCCCAAAGACTTAAAAACAGAAATTGCAAACTATTAGAGGGATTACGACTACTAGACGTTGAGCACAGAGTTTTGTTGACCGGAACTCCTCTTCAGAATAATGTCGAAGAGTTATTCAGTTTACTTAATTTTCTTGAGCCGACACAATTCACTTCAAACGAAAGTTTTATGTTAGAGTTCGGTGATCTTAAAACAGAGGCACAGGTAGACAAACTGAAAGCCATACTAAAGCCAATGATGTTGAGAAGGCTTAAAGAAGACGTAGAAAAAACTTTGGCTCCGAAAGAGGAGACTATTGTTGAGGTCGAATTAACAAATATTCAAAAGAAGTATTACAGAGCTATTCTCGAAAGAAATTTCCAATTTCTAAGTAAAGGCGGCAGTTATACAAATATGCCTAACCTCATGAACACAATGATGGAGTTAAGGAAGTGTCACCCATTTTTACTCAATGGCGCTGAAGAACATATATTTTATGAATATCGCGAACAACACGGCAAAGAAGGTGGCGACACAACTCTTTTCTTCTCTCGCCATATTTTTAAGGTTTTTTAGACTGGCGCAAACTTATATTTATGAGGTCAAATAGAGTGGCGCAAAGACATATTTTTAAGGTTTATTAGACAAGCGCAAACCAGTATTTATTACATAATTTAGAGTGGCGCAAAGTCATATTTATAAGGATTATTAGACAAGCGCAAATCAGTATTTATTACATCAATTAGAGTGGCGCAAAGTCATATTTATAAGGATTATTAGACAAGCGCAAACCAGTATTTATTACATCAATTAGAGTGGCGCAAAGTCATATTTATAAGGATTATTAGACAAGCGCAAATCAGTATTTATTACATCAATTAGAGTGGCGCAAAGTCATATTTATAAGGATTATTAGACAAGCGCAAACCAGTATTTATTACATCAATTAGAGTGGCGCAAAGCCATATTTTTAAGGTTTTTTAGACTGGCGCAAACTTATATTTATGAGGTCAAATAGAGTGTCGCAAAGACATATTTTTAAGGTTTATTAGACAAGCGCAAACCAGTATTTTTTACATCAATTAGAGTGGCGCAAAGTCATATTTATAAGGATTATTAGACAAGCGCAAACCAGTATTTATTACATCAATTAGAGTGGCGCAAAGCCATATTTTTAAGGCTTTTTAGACTGGCGCAAACTAATATTTATGAGGTCAAATAGAGTGGCGCAAAGCTATATTTTTAAGGTTTATTAGACAAGCGCAAACCAGTATTTATTACATCAATTAGAGTGGCGCAAAGTCATATTTATAAGGATTATTTTATCAAGCGCAAACCAGTATTTATTACATCAATTAGAGTGGCGCAAAGCCATATTTTTAATGCTTATTAGACAAGCGCAAACCAGTATTTATTACATCAATTAGAGTGGCGCAAAGTCATATTTATAAGGATTATTAGACAAGCGCAAACCAGTATTTGTTACATCAATTAGAGTGGCGCAAACTCATATTTATAAGGATTATTAGACAAGCGCAAACCAGTATTTATTACATCAATTAGAGTGGCGCAAAGTCATATTTATGAGGTCAAATAGAGTGGCGCAAAGCTATATTTTTAAGGTTTTTTAGACAAGCGCAAACCAGTATTTGTTACATCAATTAGAGTGGCGCAAAGCCATATTTATAAGGATTATTAGTCAAGCGCAAACCAGTATTTATTACATCAATTAGAGTGGCGCAAAGTCATATTTATAAGGATTATTAGACAAGCGCAAACCAGTATTTGTTACATCAATTAGAGTGGCGCAAACTCATATTTATAAGGATTATTAGACAAGCGCAAATCAGTATTTATTACATCAATTAGAGTGGCGCAATGTCATATTTATAAGGATTATTAGACAAGCGCAAACCAGTATTTATTACATCAATTAGAGTGGCGCAAAGCCATATTTTTAAGGCTTTTTAGACTGGCGCAAACTTATATTTATGAGGTCAAATGGCGCAAAGCTATTTTTATATTATTATGAAACCAGTATTTATTACATCAATTAGAGTGGCGCAAAGCCATATTTTTAATGTTTATTAAAATGGCGCAAACCAGTATTTATTACATCAATTAGAGTGGCGCAAAGCCATATTTTTAATGTTTATTAAAATGGCGCAAACCAGTATTTATTACATCAATTAGAGTGGCGCAAAGCCATATTTTTAATGTTTATTAAAATGGCGCAAACCAGTATTTATTACATCAATTAGAGTGGCGCAAACCCATATTTATAAGGATTATTAGACAAGCGCAAACCAGTATTTATTACATCAATTAGAGTGGCGCAAAGCCATATTTTTAAGGTTTATTAGACAAGCGCAAACCAGTATTTATTACATCAATTAGAGTGGCGCAAAGTCATATTTATAAGGATTATTAGACAAGCGCAAACCAGTATTTGTTACATCAATTAGAGTGGCGCAAAGTCATATTTATAAGGATTATTAGACAAGCGCAAACCAGTATTTATTACATCAATTAGAGTGGCGCAAAGCCATATTTTTAAGGTTTTTTAGACTGGCGCAAACTTATATTTATGAGGTCAAAGAGAGTGGCGCAAAGCTATATTTTTAAGGTTTATTAGACAAACGCAAACCAGTATTTTTTACATCAATTAGAGTGGCGCAAAGTCATATTTATAAGGATTATTAGACAAGCGCAAACCAGTATTTGTTACATCAATTAGAGTGGCGCAAAGTCATATTTATAAGGATTATTAGACAAGCGCAAACCAGTATTTATTACATCAATTAGAGTGGCGCAAAGCCATATTTTTAAGGTTTTTTAGACTGGCGCAAACTTATATTTATGAGGTCAAAGAGTGTGGCGCAAAGCTATATTTTTAAGGTTTATTAGACAAGCGCAAACCAGTATTTGTTACATCAATTAGAGTGGCGCAAAGCCATATTTTTAAGGTTTTTTAGACTGGCGCAAACTTATATTTATGAGGTCAAAGAGAGTGGCGCAAAGCCATATTTTTAATGTTTATTAAAATGGCGCAAACCAGTATTTATTACATCAATTAGAGTGGCGCAAAGCCATATTTATAAGGATTATTAGACAAGCGCAAACCAGTATTTATTACATCAATTAGAGTGGCGCAAAGTCATATTTATAAGGATTATTAGACAAGCGCAAACCAGTATTTGTTACATCAATTAGAGTGGCGCAAAGTCATATTTATAAGGATTATTAGACAAGCGCAAACCAGTATTTATTACATCAATTAGAGTGGCGCAAAGTCATATTTATAAGGATTATTAGACAAGCGCAAACCAGTATTTATTACATCAATTAGAGTGGCGCAAAGCCATATTTTTAATGTTTATTAAAATGGCGCAAACCAGTATTTATTACATCAATTAGAGTGGCGCAAAGCCATATTTTTAAGGTTTATTAGACAAGCGCAAACCAGTATTTATTACATCAATTAGAGTGGCGCAAAGTCATATTTATAAGGATTATTAGACAAGCGCAAACCAGTATTTGTTACATCAATTAGAGTGGCGCAAAGTCATATTTATAAGGATTATTAGACAAGCGCAAACCAGTATTTATTACATCAATTAGAGTGGCGCAAAGCCATATTTTTAAGGTTTTTTAGACTGGCGCAAACTTATATTTATGAGGTCAAATAGAGTGGCGCAAAGCTATTTATGAGGTCAAAGAGAGTGGCGCAAAGCTATATTTTTAAGGTTTATTAGACAAACGCAAACCAGTATTTTTTACATCAATTAGAGTGGCGCAAAGTCATATTTATAAGGATTATTAGACAAGCGCAAACCAGTATTTATTACATCAATTAGAGTGGCGCAAAGCCATATTTTTAAGGTTTTTTAGACTGGCGCAAACTTATATTTATGAGGTCAAAGAGTGTGGCGCAAAGCTATATTTTTAAGGTTTATTAGACAAGCGCAAACCAGTATTTGTTACATCAATTAGAGTGGCGCAAAGCCATATTTTTAAGGTTTTTTAGACTGGCGCAAACTTATATTTATGAGGTCAAAGAGAGTGGCGCAAAGCCATATTTTTAATGTTTATTAAAATGGCGCAAACCAGTATTTATTACATCAATTAGAGTGGCGCAAAGCCATATTTATAAGGATTATTAGACAAGCGCAAACCAGTATTTATTACATCAATTAGAGTGGCGCAAAGCCATATTTATAAGGATTATTAGACAAGCGCAAACCAGTATTTATTACATCAATTAGAGTGGCGCAAAGCCATATTTATAAGGATTATTAGACAAGCGCAAACCAGTATTTGTTACATCAATTAGAGTGGCGCAAAGTCATATTTATAAGGATTATTAGACAAGCGCAAACCAGTATTTATTACATCAATTAGAGTGGCGCAAAGTCATATTTATAAGGATTATTAGACAAGCGCAAACCAGTATTTATTACATCAATTAGAGTGGCGCAAAGCCATATTTTTAATGTTTATTAAAATGGCGCAAACCAGTATTTATTACATCAATTAGAGTGGCGCAAAGCCATATTTTTAAGGTTTATTAGACAAGCGCAAACCAGTATTTATTACATCAATTAGAGTGGCGCAAAGTCATATTTATAAGGATTATTAGACAAGCGCAAACCAGTATTTATTACATCAATTAGAGTGGCGCAAAGCCATATTTTTAATGTTTATTAAAATGGCGCAAACCAGTATTTATTACATCAATTAGAGTGGCGCAAAGCCATATTTTTAATGTTTATTAAAATGGCGCAAACCAGTATTTATTACATCAATTAGAGTGGCGCAAAGCCATATTTATAAGGATTATTAGACAAGCGCAAACCAGTATTTATTACATCAATTAGAGTGGCGCAAAGCCATATTTTTAAGGTTTATTAGACAAGCGCAAACCAGTATTTATTACATCAATTAGAGTGGCGCAAAGCCATATTTATAAGGATTATTAGACAAGCGCAAACCAGTATTTATTACATCAATTAGAGTGGCGCAAAGTCATATTTATAAGGATTATTAGGCAAGCGCAAATCAGTATTTATTACATCAATTAGAGTGGCGCAATGTCATATTTATAAGGATTATTAGACAAGCGCAAACCAGTATTTATTACATCAATTAGAGTGGCGCAAAGTCATATTTATAAGGATTATTAGACAAGCGCAAACCAGTAT